TATATATATATATATATATGTGTGTGTGTGTGTGGGTGGGTGCGTATGCGTGTGTATGTGCATGGTTGTTTGCAGTTGCTGTGGGTTGTGCCCAGCCACACCCTGCAGTTGGGCAAATGGGCAATTGACTGTAATACGGCTATTTCCCTTTTTTCCAATATTAGGAAGGAAAATTGAACGGAGTAAAATGGCCCAGCAAGGATGAATGAAAAAAAAAAAAGAAAAAGTGAAGCTGAGAGAAGTAAAGGGAAGAAAAAAAGGTGCCGCGGCGGGAACCCATAGAAGCAGAGATTGGGCGGTGGGATGACCTCCGCACCTCATCCATTCTTTTTGGTCTTCTTCACCTCTTGCTTCACCAATACGGAGACGTTCAGTTGTTTGCTTAGCGCTATCGCTCTTGCTCGTGCTACTGCTGTGACCAGGCCTGTTGTTCGTGCAAAGTGACGGATCTGCATTTGTGGTTTTCGTTTCTTTTTTTTTTTTTCTCGTTCTCTCTCTCTCTGTGTGTGTGTGTGGCGTTTTATCCCGAACAGCTCCTACAGAGAAAGAAAGAACAAAGAAAAAAAACAACAATAAAAAAAGGACAGCTTCGATCCCTCGATACGCTGCACCAGCGAACAAAGAAGGAACAAAACACACACCAACACGAAAAAAAAAGACAAGGAGTAGGAAGAAAAAAAAAAAANAAAAAAAAAAAACAGCAACAACAAGAAGGGACGGTACTGAACAAGGAAACACCCGGGTCATTATGTTCAAGAATCAATACGACACCGACACAACGACGTGGAGCCCCACCGGCCGTCTCTTCCAGGTAGAGTATGCAAACGAGGCGGTAAACAACGGCTCCGCCGCTGTGGGTGTGAAGAACAGGGAGTACGTTGTGCTCACGGCTCTCAAGCGTAGCCCGGTGGCGGAGCTCTCCTCTTATCAAGAGAAGGTCTTCAAGCTCGACGACCACGTCGGCATGGCGATCGCCGGCCTCGTTGCAGATGGCCGCGTGCTGGCGCGCTTCCTGCGCACAGAGTCTATGAACTACCGCTACATGCACGACAGCAATCTTCCTCTGTCGCTAATGACGGACATGATCGGCGACAAACACCAGCGCCACATTCAGCACGCAGGGAAGCGGCCTTTTGGTGTCGGGCTGCTCATTGCCGGCCACGACTCCACCGGACCACACTTGTACCAAACTGCGCCGTCAGGCGATGTGTTCGAGTTCAAAGCGACTGCGATGGGACTGCGCTCGCAGGCAGCGCGCACGTACTTGGAGAAGCACTTTGAAACGTTTCCTGAGTGTGACTGCGACGCGCTTATCATGCACGCGCTTAAGGCGCTGGCGGCGGCCACCACTGGCGGCGTGGAGCTAAATATCAAGAACACCTCTATCGCTGTTGTAGGGAAGGACACGCCTTTCACAATACTCAGCGAGGAGCGGGCGCGGAAATATTTGGATGGTTTCAAGATGCGGCCGGAGGACATACCGCCAGAGCCAGAGAATGAGGAGGAGGAAACGGTCCAGGAACGGCCCCTTGATGTGGAGGAGTGATGTGTTGTAGGAGGTTGTGGCCTTCCTTTGGTTTCTTTTTTCCCTCTGTTCTATTCACCTCGCTCTAGGACATGCTCTGCCACACTGTGTTGGGGGCTGTTTCTGTGCGTGTGTGTGTGTTTGTGTGCGCGCTTTGAGTCTCTCTTTGTCTCCATTTCTACTGGAGGGCACGATGTTATGGACGATCTTTAAGAGAGAGAGAACGGCTCTGCTGCATGACAGGAGTAGGTAGGGATTTCTGCTGTGCCGTTTGCACTCGACACTCATTCCACGCTTCGGCGTGTGTTGTGAGGGTGTTATTGGTCTATTTGTGTTTGCCTTTGTTTTTCAAAAAACTCTTTTCTTCAAATCACATTTTTTGTTTTTTTTGGTTTCCTCTTCTTGTGCATTCCTTTCTTTGTTGCGTACTCCTTGACTCTTGCGCTGCTCGCTAAGTAGGAGAGAAGAACACGGACAATGCCGCGAAAAACAACCAAGCGGAAGCGGCACTCGAGCAGCTCGGCGAGCGACGATGGCTCCAGCGACAATGAGCGTGGGAGGCGCGGCAACGCCTTGTCCAAGTTTGAAGAATTCGATGTCTCGGAGGTGCTTCAGAAGCCACAGGAGGCGCAAGAAGCTCAGCTAGTAATGGAGCCGCAAGACGGCAACACCAACAATGACGTTAACAACAACAGCGACAGTGCCACAACAAGTGCTACAGCTACAACTGCCGCTGTCGTTGCTCCTGAACCTGCTGCTGAACCGCAGGAGCCGCCAGCGCCCATTCCGCAGCTCATTCCACCGGAGCCTTTGAGGGACCTTCCACCAGATGAGGAGTTCGTGCCGCTGACTACGATTCAGGTTGTGCCGATGATGAACCGCAACGTTGAGGCGCAGAACGGCCTGCTGAAAGAGCCCGCAGCGCCGGCCAGGATTCAACGTGTGACGCAGCCAGGTGTGCCAGCCCCAGCGATGCCCACAATACTTATGCAACTTCTAAGCGCGTGAATAGAGTGTGCGGGCGCGTACGCGCCTATCCACTCGTTTTTTTTTTTTTTCGTTCTTCCCTTTTATAAATCAACGATGCGTGCAGAGACCAAGCCAGGCGTGCCTGTTTGTTGTGATGCCAGTTGGAAGTGGTGAAATGGTGAGGGGGCAATTTTGAAGCAATCTGCGACCTCTTCTTGTTTTTGCATTTCTCTTCCTAACACGGTAACAAGAAGAGGGAGGCAACCAGCGATAAAGAGAAAGAGGCAGGTGCCACACACAGACGTGCAGTAGTAAGGCGTTCTCAATTTTTGCTTTCCCACAGAGTGTGAGGCAATACATCAATCATGGTGGCGGAAAGGCGCAAAAGGTCAAAGGCCACCAAAGCGGTGGCGTCGACAGAGGCTGCCGTCCCGGTTGAAGATGACGCGATGCCCCCGCTGCAGCAGCAACTGACCGCTGCAAACAGCACGGAACCTGTCCTTGTACAGGAGGACGGAAGTTCGCTCGGGGAATCGCTCTTCCATGCTCTCACAGAGGGCGCTTCGGCGGAGCAAGTGGTGGTGGATCTTCTTCGCATTTACGGTGATGGCAGCACTGACACGGTATGCTGCGCCGTGCTGAACCTCGTTGGGAAGGTGTCGGGCGTCGCACAAGCGGAGTTGGACGCGAGCGCTCTGAAGGATGATGTGGATGTGACAACCCTTCTGGAGGAGATGTACGCCAGGGTGCCGGAGGACGCCGCGGTATATCCACTGGTGAGGAAGGACCCCAAGTTCCGCAGCTTTTTCACTGCGTACCGCCGCTTCTTTGGGCGCTTGGTGGGGCTGAGTTACACCGCTAATGTGCTGCTAGACGGCGTGCTGCTGCCAACGCTCCTGCGTTGGCTCATCGCGATGAGTGAGAGCAAAGCACGGTGCTTTCGCCACACGTCCACTGTCGCTCTGCTCTCCATTGTGGGTGCCCTTAATGGGTTGATTCATGACCTCAACCACCGCCTGCCACCGAAGGGGCGTGGGAGGAAACAGCAGGTCGGTGCGCTCCAGGAGAGCATCCACGCCATTGCGGAGATGCGCAACCACGTCATTTCGCAGGCCATCCACCAGCGACCGCGCGATGTTGCGCCAGAAATTCGGCTTCTTGTTTTTGAACATCTGGAAGATTGGATCCTAAAGTACGATGATGAGTTTGCAGAGAACAAGTACTTCCGGTACTTTGGCATGGCGCTCTATGACAAGCGACCCGAAATACGTGCAGAGGCCCTCACGATGATTCGCAAAGCCCTTGCTGCAACGCCAGAAAGTGGAAACCGCATGTTCCTCTTCCTCCAGTATTTCAGCAACCGTTTGGTGGAAATGTGCAGCGATGTCAGCATGCGTTGTGCTGAGCTGGCAATTGGTGTTATTGTCCTCATTCTTCGCGTATATGGTGAAGAGGCGGAGGGGAAGGAGCTTCTTGATAATGAAAAGATTGACCGAGTGCTGCTGACACTCTTTGATGAGCGTCCCACCATACGCCGTGAGGCTGGCATCCTACTTCGCGTCTTTATAGACTCTCGCGTCTCCGTGGATGCGAGTAGCGGTGAGGCTGCGTACCAAAAGGCCGCGACGGAACTGCTTTGCGCCTTCGCCGGGACGTTGCGTTCGCAGTACGAGGAGACGATGCCGGAGCGGTACCTTATCGATGCCCTCTACACGCCGTCTGAGGACGTACCGCACCTGCTGCAGGTCCACACGCCGCTGCTGGAACTCGCCGCCGATGACGATGCAGCTGAGGCGGTGGTGGGTCTCTCCCTTGTCGCCGCGCTACTCGAGAAGGCACGCGGGCGGCTTGACCTGGGCCCTGTTCCGCGTGAAGACCGCCGGCATGTGGTCACCAAAAAGCTTGCGGTTGGCAAACAAGAAGCGGTGGACGCTTTCGTGGCTAATTTAAGTCGCGACGCAGGTGTGTTGTTGGCGGAAGTGCTTGAGAAACATCGCGGGGATGTAGGTGTCCTCTGTAGCATCGCTTCTGTAGTTGCGGCGATGGATCTTAAGGTGTTCACCTCACTTGAGCAGGTGTCACGGATCAATGCGCTCATGGTGCTACTGCGGAAGGCCACTGCGGCCTTGCCTCGGTGCGAAGAGTTACAACTTGTCCAAATTACCTCCGCCTGGACTGCGCTTGCCTTTGAGGATCACCCTTTTAAGAGTGAGGCCAATGGTCATCTTCAGGAGTTGAAGAGGCAAGTTTTTAAGCAGCTAGCCGCCATACAGAAGGGAGGCATTAACTCAAGAAGCCAAGTGGATGAGAATGAGCTTCTGCATGTGTGTGCGCGTCTGAGCATTGTTTCCTCCCTTGTGTCGCTGGTGGACCATTGGGGGACTCTTAAGACGGCGATTGTGCAGCACACTGTTCCAACCTTTTCTCCAGAGATCCTGCGGCTCACACTAGCGAGTGCCGTTCGGTGTGTATTGTGGCAGATCGGTGCGGAGCAGCAACTTCTACAACAGCAGCAGCAGCAGCAGCAGCTGGTAGGTACGCCAGCAGCCGCAGATACCATAAGTCAGATGATTGGGGAGCTGCTGACGTGCATCTTCCAGGCCTGGGCCTTAGATTCACAGCGACGCGAAGAGGGCTTCACTACACTTCTAGTTGACAGCATGATCCACCTATGTGATCTCTGTGCGCTGAAGTATTACACAATGTCGCAGGTAGAACAGGATGCACTGGTTACAAAGTTTGGTGAGCTCACGGAGATGCTAAGCTCTGAGATAAGTGACGCTAAAGCCAAACTCAAGGATGCCCAAGTTCATTTTCAGAAAGGTGGAGCTCTCAGCGTGGTTACAAAGACCCGCCGAGAGTTATCACGCCTCGAGGCATCACAACTGCGCATGACGGTGGGTATCGTGCGCCTGCTGCTTCTTAATCGTCTTGCAGGTGACGTGGCACCCCGTGTGCTGCTTCAATGGACGCATGCACCTACAAAAGCAATTGCTGATGTGTTTCGCTGTCTATTCCGCACATTGCGTGACCGCGATAATGACAGCTTCACCCTCGAGAAGTCTATCCTCGTGGCGGCATACAGCCAATCTTCTGAGGCGCTCTACCAGATGGGGCTTAAGCTATCTTCGATGCATTGGCCTTTGCCTGACAAGTACTATACTGCAGTCGTCAGTCTTGTACGCTTTGGCATTGACTTTGCCATCACAACAGACCCTGTTATGCTTCAAGCCGTTGTCGCGTACTGCCCCAAACTCTTGAGGAGTGATGCCTTGGGATTGGCACATTCGTTGGCTGCCAACCCAACACTCGCAGAGAGCGAGGACCCTAACGCCCGTCTTTTCGTGGCAGCCATCCGCAGGGCAGCAAAACTGGAGGAGACGGTGGGGGCCACGCCCATCCGCAGCGTAAAGCGGCCGCGTGATGCGTCGCACGGCGTTGACACGATTGAGAGACACATTCTGCAGCAACAGCAGCAGGAGGGAGGCGCTTTGGTGGCATCCCCGACGAGAAATGCGTCACGGATGCGGTCCCAACGCCTTACAACACCCAAAGCACCACTCCCGCCCAACCGTGTTGTCACGGCGGAAGGTTGGCATGTGCGCCCAGATGAGATTGACAACGAGGCGGAAGTGGCGCGGAGTGTGACGTCTTCCACCTCGGAAACCGTGGAGGCGACACGTGGGCGGCAACTAAGGAACATAAAGCTGTCACCTGGTGCTGTGGCTGGATTGGCATCAGCAACGGTGACAGCAACACAGGAGACCCTCCTCTCGTCCATGGCAGGGGAGTTGGATCGTGACGAAGTGTTTATTGCAACACAGGAGTACGATTGAGCCATTCCTGCTGCCACTGGTTGCCACAACCGTCAGATCTACTCTATTCCTTGGCGGAAAAACAACAACAACAACAGATATTCAGTTAGTTCTCCCATAGAAGAAGACGAAGAAGGAAAAAAAAAGATAAACCATAGAGAACACAGAGTGTGGTTACGGAGTTAATATATCATTCTCCAAGTCAGGGCAGGAAATAAAGAGAGTGAGACATATGAAGCACAAAAAAGGAAAGTGAAATCATGTGTAGACTCCGTGCCACGTCCCCAGACATTGTTCTGAAAAGCTTCTCTCGTTATTTTGCGTTATAGTTTCTAATCACAGGAATGATGACATCTCTTACGGTGACACGACAAATGCCAATGTGCGGTCAGGGTGTTATTATATTCTTTCCTTTTTTGGTTTCTCTTTTCCCATTTTTTTTTCCTTCTTTGCTGCTTTGAACTGCATTACGTTGTGGTTTTTTGTCTGCCACGTCTAGTCGGCACATCTAGACAAGTGAAGGGTGGCCGGCTACAGATAGTCGGTGCTTGTCGTCATGCTGTACACAGCGTCATCGCTGCCGGCCGCTGTTTTGAAGGACCCGCATAGCTGGAGTGCGAGTTGGAAGGAACTACACGAGAAGGCGGTGAGGAAGAAGGATCAGATTGTGCTGGCGCACGATGCTGCATCACCACTCAATTCCAAGATGAAGGCCCGGCTAATGTGCTGTGTGCGTACGCTACCGCGCCTGGGTGATGTAAAGGCCGCGCTGAGGAAGCTAGTTGCGTCTCGTGAACAGCGCCGCTCCTCGCTTAAGCGGTTAGAATGCCCACTCTCGGTGGAAACACTGCGCTGTGATGACACGCGCGGCTACCGTGCCCCTAACCCGACCATATGGACTGTCGACAGCTCTGTTGTTGGTGACATCACGGTTATAGATGCGTTTTCTGGTAGCGTACTAATGCGGATTATGGAACCAAAACGAGGCGTCATGGTTGCCTCAATGATGCACGCGCCATTTCGAGGTTTTATCGATCGACAGCTAGAAGTGGTTTCTATTGAGAAGCCGCAAGACATTCTCTCGGTGCGAGAGACTTCGCTCATCAACACGGACTATGTCTGGGTTGGGTTCGCTGATGGCGCTATTCGCCTTTTTCCTGCCGATTCCCAACGTGTGCGGGAGCAGGATCGGTCTTTGCTGCTGGCCAAAGGGGAGCTGGCGGACCTCGTGTATGAACTGCCGAAACACCACACAAGTGCCATCGTCGCCATCACGCGTAGTCCGTGTCATGAGGACGGTAAGACAACTGATCTGGTTACCGCGAACCGCCTAAGCAATTCTATCCGCGAAATGACTGCAGCAACGGCGCGCCGGTGCCGTGAGGAACGCGAACATCTTTCACTTGTGTGTACAGCGTCGGAGGACTCATGTGTGGTGGTATGGGACCTGCAGAAGATCTATGGCCGGCTGGAGGAAATGCGGTTGTCATCGCAAAGTGCAAGACACGGCCTGTACAATGCTTCTACTAGGGCGCCATCACTCCGTGGCGATATTGTTACATTCGAAGGGAAGGCGTCGCCTAGCACGGCAGGCTACACTGTGCGTTCCACGTGTACAATGGTGAAGGTGCGGCCGCTGTTCAGACTGAAGGGAAGCGTGGGTGGGCTGCGAACGCTCAACTGGGTCACGACAACCGTGACGACGGCGAATTATCAAAAGAGCCGTGATGTGGTGGCGATGACGCGGGACCCTAAAGAAGCCACAGCACCATTGTTAATCAAACATCGTCGTGCCTTGCAGAGCATGACGCGGTGGGAAAAGCGAGAAGAACATCGGATGATGCTGCGGCTCTCGGAGTGGGATATGCGGGAGGTGGAGGCGGAGCTGGAGCAACTTATGCCGCCCCTCACGCCTGAGCCTGTGCAGCACAAGCGGATTAACCTCATTATTGCGGGCGACGTCCACGGTACAGTTCATCTGTGGGATTTAGATGAGGAGCTCGAGCGAACCATTAACGCTGCGACAACCGCGACTTCTTCTGCGCGCTCGCGATGTTCGTCGTCAGAGTCACGACTAAGTCAGAGTCCACTTACCACCTTCGATTTCTCTGTGAGCCCTCGTAGGCATCGCAAGCGTGGCTCCACGACGCGCACAGCTTCTAGCACAGCCTATGCCCACAGTGAGATGGATTCGGCCATACGAAACAGCCAGCATAGCATCTGTGTGGCTTCATCTCCATGTCGTACAATGGAAAATTCACTGAAGGGGAGTCTACAGGATCGAATGGGGAATGGAAAACGATCCTCTTTAGTCAGCGCACAGAGCGCGCCACCAAACACGAAGAAGGCTGCAAAAGAAGGAACAAAAACAGGCGGTGTGATGTCGCATACACCAAGGAAGAGTCTCGCTCGAGGATCAACTGTGAAGGGTGGTCCTGCTACACCGTCGACAAGGCTGTCACGCACAACAGTGGAGACACCATTAACACAGACTCCAGTCTCTTCACCGGCACTGAGTAAGGCTAAGAGAGGCACAGAGGCAAAGTCTTCACGTAAGCTGACTAATCGAGATAATGACACTTTTGCAAAGTGTTCCCTTAAATCTGGCGGTGCATCGCCACGTGTCAGCGCGTCTGCCACCAAGTCTCTGAAAACGTCACGTGGCATTGCACCAAAATTGGGCACGACTCGTGCAATTCCGCAGTCGGAGAAGAAGGCCATTCAAACACCCAAGAGGGGAACGCGGCATATTGTAGCCAAGACACCTGCTACTAATGGCGACAGTTGTGGTGACTTCACACCTCCTTGCGTGGGCCGGAGCTCCGGTGGCAAAGCGGGTAAATCGGAGGGGCGCAAGAGTGCGCTGCGGAAAAAACCCACGACGGGGTTGGCGGAGGACACGTGGACAGTGCGTTGGAACTCAAGCAAGACTGGTGGATCTACGCCACACACGGTCTCTAGCCACCGCAGCTTTAACAACCATAGCGGACGACAGTCTGTGCACGAGGTCACTACCTCCGCGAGGTCTGGTGGGGAGCAGGCACCTAATGACTGGATGGACGATCACCGCTACTTTAGGGACATTTACAGCCGTAAAGCAAAGTGCCGCATGGATCTCACGGATAGTGCCACCATTACGGGCATCGCTATAGATCTTCCACCTGTTATTACGGTGACCATGCGACGTCTCCCGGACCCGCTGGAACCTCACTATTCCCTGCTGGATCAGCCGACTGAGGAGGAAGTTCGAAACCGCCAATTGGCCAACACCTTCCATCAGTTGACCGATGAACGCGCACTTTTTTGCGCCTTTGCGAAGCTGCAGTTCTATGTATCTGTAGAAGGGACGATAATGAACTTGCAGTGCGTACCCAAGGCTCCTTCAGAGTTTGCTGGAAGGTTCCTTCACACTGTGCGTACGCTGGATGATAGTGTGGTGGACGAGCCAGCTCCATTCAACTTCAAGGTTGTCATCCGAAGACATATAATGGAGAGACATTCGCAGCCTATTGTACTGTTGTTCATTGACCACCAAAGACAACAACTCTGGCTCGCGCGAAAAGACGGTCTCCTCTCCGTTTTTTCGACAGAAACAAAAACTATCATCTCACGTGTACCGCACCCTTCAGCAGAAATGGCTCTTGGTCCACCTAATGCGGCGGAATGGAAGCGAGTGCAGCGAGAAATGGCACTGGCGGAAGGACTACCCCCTCACCTTGAGGTGCATAAGGAGTGCAAAAAATATCCACCAGGCCATTTTGTAAATCTTGCTCCTGTTTCAGTTCTTCAAGAATTTAAACTGATGCGAGCGTCGACGGTACGTGATTTTGACTCGACGTTGGTTCCGCGAAGTGATGCTTCGGATGTTGTCAAGGGGCACATCGTCACCATTGACAACAGAGATGCACTAGACGAACACGCGCGGTCTCGTGAAGCTACCCTTAGTACATTTTTAGAAGCACTAAAGCAATGCCGTCAAAAGGCCTTCACAGTGCGTACAGTGCAGAGAGATTATTACCTCTCTCTCCAGAATGTATTGAGTGAGCGCATCAGTCGTCTGATTGCACAGTGCGCTTCACTCGATGCCCTGTGCACAACGCGGAGCGCCTTTCGGGCTTGGGCGCACCATCGTGAATACTTTGCCCGCCGTCATGTTCTGCGCCATATGCGACATAGGCGGATAGAGAAGCTCTCATTTGTGGCAGAAAATGCGGCTCGTGCCAATGCAACGATACTGAGAGAAGTGTTCTTTTCCAAGTGGATTATGCTCGTGCGCGAGCGTCGAATGCAACGGCGAAAGGTTCAGTTCTCTCGTATCTTGGGCGCACATGCGCGCTCCGCCAGTGAAGCCAAACTGTTAGATTTTTTTGTGGAACACGCGCGGCGGCGCCGGTTCTGGTCTCTGTGGCGGTCTGCGCTAGCGCCTCCGCTACGTTTTTGTGTGGCCTCACCGCCTACCCGAAGTCTCAGTCCTGCCAATGCGATGGGGGCCACTCAGGTGTTCTCGCCACGCTCACCGCGATCACCACGGTCACCACGGTCACCACGTTCACCCAAACTGCGTTCCTTGTCCCGTCCGCGGGGTATGATACGTGATGGGACATTTAAAGATCTTCAAGCTATTGTTCGGCAAATTCAGGCCTTCCGGCAACATCTCATCCGCTTTCGCTGGAGTGAATCAGCAGACAGTCTCTTGGATATTGATGATCTCTGGCTTGACAGCATCGAGGCTGCAGCGGGTGAGGCAGAGGTGCACACAGTGTACGCACTGAAGGCGGCAGTATTTAAGTTTAGTCTCCTCCCTCTCCTTGAGGGTTTGCTGTCGACTGCCGAGGAAGTGCTGCCTTACATACGTGTGGCACCTGTCAGTGACGAGGTGCGATCAATGGTGCGTGGCTGTCTGCTGTGTGTGGATTACATCTTCGCTGATCCGGATACCTTTGGGGATAACCCCCCGCCCAATGGCAGCATATTTGCTGGTATCTCACATGCGGATAAGCGAAGAAAATCGTCCCTGATTTACCCACGGCTGCAGCGGGAGCGGGAGTTTCGGGATGTATTTGACGAGGCCATGGATGAACGTGAGTTCCAGACGCAGATAGAGGCAATAACTACACATCGTGCGGTTATTGAAGAGTTTGTGCGCCTTTGCTTTGCCTCTATGAAGAAAGTTGCAGTGCAAGAATAAAAGAAAATTGAAAATGAGGAACATATACAGTGACATTTTCCTCTATGTTTTGTTTTGTTTGCGGTAATGGCGAGTACAACGATGTGTAACGTCCATTCCAACTCGAAAGCTAAGCAGATTGTGTCTTTCGAATCCAAGTACAGTGGAATGTACAGATACGACAAGCACAATTCGTCGGGCGGATGCTGTGCGTGCCCGAGCCTGTGTGTTCGCGTTTTGGTGTGCGTGTGCGTGCCTGGATGAGCGAACAGCAAAATGCTGCGAGGAGGTGAGGACGGGGATGGGGGCGCCATTTCCTTCAGGCCATCCCAAAGAAGAGAGGGGGAGGGAAAGTGATGCGCCTGCAACAACAATAAGTCTTTATACATCGCTTACTTTGCTCTGCCCTTCCTCTTTATGTTGACTTTGCTTTCCGTTTTTCTTTCTTTCTTTCTTTCTTCCCTCTCCCTTTGTGTGTCGCTGTAAGTAAGGGCGAGAGGGAGAGTGAAGAGAAGCGAGGAAAGTAGCAAGAGTGCACCACGCCAGCAGCACAACATGGATGGACCGTGCAATGTGTTGCGTCATCCGTCAGAGGCGCTTCCTAATCGAGTTAGTTTTTTTCTTCGTTTGTTGGTGTGGCTGCATACCTCCTCATATTCCGCATGTCCGCGTCGATGCTTCACGTGTGACCGCGCGCGCAGCGCCTTCCCCCCTCTATAACTTTGCCATCTCTCACCCCTCCTCTCTCTCTCTCTCTCTCTCTCTCTCTTTCTCTCTCTTTCCGTTCTTTGTATGCACTGGGGGAATAATCCTGATAAAGGTGTGGAAGGTAAAAGAGAAAGGGATGCTGTCCTCCCAAACGGCGTCGATGAACCATTCTACGGAGAGCGCCACCAGCAGCCTCCAGCGCTCAGGTCTCAACATGAGTGTTGGCGACACAAAGTCCATTGTGCTTGCCCTCCAGGCCCTGCAGGACAAGATCCGTCGCCTCGAGCAGGACCGCAACCACCACCAGGACCAGTATGAGCGGGCTCTGCAAGCACATGAGGCGTACAAGCGAGACATGGAGCATCAGCTCGAACAGGAGCGCGCGCACCATCGACAAAGTGAAAAGGAGTTGCAAGAGATGGTACAGCGTGCCACATCTGAAAAGGCTAAGCTGCAAAGTACATTGGAGGAGAGTCGCAAGGACTTGGGGACTTTTAGGACAGAATTAGAGGAGATGCTCGTTAAGGAGTGCGATGCCGCACAACAGCGGGAGAATGCCCTAGCTACCGAGGTGGACAAGTTGCGTCAGGAGGTTGAAGAGCAGCGAAAGAAGCATCGTGCCCTTATTTCCTCCGTAGAGCAACTTCGCGCCGAGAAGGAGGCGGCACTTGACACCAACCATCATTTAGAGCTGGCGATACAAGAGGTTCTGCGGATGCAACAAAGTCGTGGGGGCGACCGCTCATTCTTGCGGAATGGTGACACCAGCAGAGTAACCGACGCTGGAAGGAACAGACGTGGTGGCCGTCGCGGCCGCACGTACAACAACACGTCGGTAGGTGACTCCATGCACCGAACGAGCAGCTCCCATCGTGCTGTCGATCCACGTGGGAGGGAAAGTCGGCCAACGTCCGCACTTCGCAGCAGCAGTGTCACTCGGCGCACTTACCGTGATCCAACGTACTCTTCCATCCAACGTGACGTGCGCAAGGATGGCGCCGGACATTCACATGAGGGAGCCGGTAGCGAGTACGCCCGCCCGCCTCCGTGTGCCGTGGTGCCAACAGTGTCGCGCACCCAACCTGCAACATCGCCTGAAACGCGGCAGAGCGGCGCCATGGCGGAGGTGCTGCAGGAATTGCAGGCGGAGCTTGAGAGTCTCCACCAGCAGTACAAGGAGACGGTTGAGCGCGCGGCGGCTGAGGAACTCTCAACGGAGGTCCTCACAGCGGCACTGAATCGCCTCGCCACAGTGATGGATCGCAAGACGGAGCAGATACGCCTTATCAAGGAGGCGCAGCGCGACCTTACACAGGCCGGAATAGTAGAGGTGCCGACGTCGCGACCGGTGAGCTCGGCGAGGCGGCGGTCCCCTCCGGTCGGTTCAGACAAGGCAACACAGCGCAACCT